CAAATACCCGGGTAATGAATGCCCTATATATGCAACAATCCGACAATTAAGCTTGGAGCGTGATTACAGAAATCAAGGACTTTTGTTGGAAAAAATGATCGGGACCCAATTAGGTTATATTCGACGCAACAGATGATGGATTTTTACATTTTGTGATGTATTGACGTTGATAAATGTCATTTAATTGGGCGCTTTTGTCAAAAGTCGTTGGAGAATGTTGAGTTTAATGACGACTTCGTTTTCACAGGGACTTCATGTGGAGACGTAATTGTATGGTAAATATGTAACGTTTTCTTTCTCGCAGAATTCGCTGCACGCTCTCGAGAATACGTCATCGACTGAACTTTTTGATGGGTTCAAGGAGAAATATAAGCATCATCAGATGAACCACAACGAACTTACTTGTTGAGAGTGATCGAAGGTTCTCCATACTTTTTCGATGGTACACACTGCAGTTAGTTTTGATAACGAGAACAAAGTCACTCGCAATAATGTGGAAAAAAAGTCTTCGTTAAAAACGTGATACACTTATCTAAAATGTATGTATAACTATAGTCAAAATATTGTTTAGGAGGACATCACTAACACGTCCTATGTTAGTTTACTCAGTCAAGAAATACACATATAACACAAATGCATCCAGCGGACGTACTGAGGATGTACGTGAAGGATGTTATTGTACAAAGTAAAGGCGTACGGGTCAGGGCGTACGTTATAGAGGTACCTGCTATGTTCAGAATCCGTCTATTTCCGTTCAATATGTGTAATGACAGTTTTGATCCAGTTTTTGGGCAAAACATGCATCGGCACCTGAAATGTTAGTAAATCTAGCAGGTTTTTATTTTCATATAATATTGTCGAAAATATTGGAAAAGGATATCGGAGAATGTTGGTAAGGGAATCTTTCTTGAAAAAAACAGTGTTCTTGAAATTCAGGATGATAAAACTCAAAAGTATTTTTCTTTTGAATTTCTGAAATATTGTATATTTGAATAATGGCACAATACTGTCATATTGATATTATAACAGTAATAACATGTTCACATATAAATTCAGAATAATTTGCATCAAATACACCACAAATGTAACATTAGCATCTGATGTTTTTACAAAATCTGGAATATAATAGAAACAAAATGCTGAAGATGTAAATGTGAATGCTTAATTGATGGAAAAACTTGGCAAATGATATACTAAATTTACAAAATTATAGAGTTGAATCGTTCAATCTGGAACACACGATGTACCTATATCCCACAAATAAGTTCGAAATTATGGAAACAATAAAAAAATTGAAATCAAGAAAATCACCCGGATATGATAATATCCAGTCAGAATTAAACATATTGTCAGAGTTTCAGTACGGTTTTAGAGAAGGCCAATCAACCGAGGATGCCATTTGTAAACTTATTACAATTTTTTATAGTGCTCTAAATGAAAAAAATACCCATAATTTGAATATTCATGGACCTCTCCAGGGCTTTTGACCCTGTATGTCACAAAACTCTTTTACGAGAGCTCAATGACTATGATATCCGTGGGAATACATACGATCTTTTGTCCAGTTATTTATCAGATCGTGAACAGAGTGTTGGAATTGATGGTGTCATAAGTGTTTCCAGTACTGTGACCTACGGTGTTCCTCAAGGCACTGTGCTGGGGCCACTTCTTTTCACTATCTATATGAAAACAGACTATAGTCTGTTTTCTTTAAATACCACTTATCAAACTGTCAGTTTCGCCGATGATACTGCCTATTTGTACACTTCTTCAACTTGGCAAAATATGAAACAAACGCTTAATTACCAAAAAACTTGGTACTTACCATTTACATCTTATATTAGCTGATTACCAAACTCGCATCCCCTTAAAGTAGGCATGAACAAACAAATTCCTTCAGCAACAAAACAAAAAAAAGGGTATCTCCTGATTATGTCATTTACCTCCTGATTATGTCATTTATCGAAGTGTGAAATTTACTCTACATGTAACTTATCAAAAAACCCAAATATGACTTCCCCTAGATGTGTCATTATATCACGTACAAGCAGTTTGAACTGCTTCTGTGATTCATTCGTTCTTTAACAAGTGTTACATTCCATTGTTTTGTAAGATTTTATTTCATTATGTAAATAAACATTATTATTATTATTGAAATCTGAGTTAGTGATAGCGATGACATCTCCCGTTACGAAGACGTAGTAGAGCAGGCTCAGTTTGATTTCGATTTGGATGTAAACACATATCCGATCTAGTTCTCATAATAGAGGTAACGAATCTATCTGAAGTTATGCCAAAGTACTGTTTGGGATTATTGAAAGTGCTTGCAAATCAATTTAATATCGTTGAGAACTGTTGCGCTATTCATAAAAATTTGGTATATACCAACAGAATAAAAAATCATACATTGCATAGCTGGAACCAATGCAAGAATTATGTGGCAACAGTTACGAAATATCTTTGGACTTGTTGAAACCCACCTTGAGGGAAATATTGTGATGTTTTGAATATCTACAGTGAAAATGTTTGGTTCTCTTTTGATTAATCAATATTCAAACACAAAGTTTTTGTTTCGACTGTAATGAAATCCAAGGAGCTGATTTTGTCAAATGATTCGATAAAGCAATGAGAAAAATGCATTGAATTGCCAAAAATAAATTTATTTTTATTTTCTACATGTGACTTTTCGAGAACGGCGTTGATAGGTACCGTAGAACGGTAAAAAAACTGTCACGTTTAATGGTAACAAAATGTCAAAACAAATGTCACAACTAAGGCACAAAAAGTAGTTTCATATCACAATGAATACTGCAAAACATGTGATGTTTAATGTAATAGTCATTTTTGTCTTTCAATTATATTTCTGAAATGGATAAAATCTCGATCAAGAACCGTGGAGTAAAATCCAATCAAAGTGGTAAATTGAAAGCGCAACCGCGAAAGGATTCTTTCGCTCAGTTGATTGATTTGAAAAAGATTCAATACTACTTGGGTAATTACGATTACAAATAAGATTTTCGTCTGGGAAAAAGCAGCGTAAAAATTGTGTTAAATTTGGAAGTGTCTCACAAATGTATAATTAATTTAAGATTTTCGCAAAGTATTGAAGATATCAATAATAATAATAATAATTATAATAATAATAACAAAGAAAAACAAAGTTGCTGCAACAAATATGCTTGTCGTTCCAATCTTAATCTTTACTAACTTGGTTACCGAAAGGCACGTCGAGTGAATTTTTGTTTTGGTGAGTGAAAAGAATTCTAAATAGCATTTTGAAACAGATGTTCTATTCATCATTCAAGTATACATAAATCATTTTTTCTTTTTCGATTTCAACATCGAATGTCCATATGGAAAATGAACCAGATTTTAATTTGCTCTTCGAAACTATTGAGCTGGAAAAAGTTTCAATTGTATAAAGGCACTAGAGGTCTAAAAATTATTTTTCATTCAAAATTGACAGACAGCTATTATTAGAATACATGCTACTTAGTGATATTGGAATGAAGGAATAAACACTATTTTTTTAATTTTCAATTTCAAAAATCTGTTTGGAGACTCATGCGATCTACGGAAGGAAGGAACTCCTGATGACTTAGCTCCAGCCAGATTCATTATGTTATGTAGATACTTCAACCTCAAAAGCTCACGACTTCCGTGTTGACGGGGAACGTATAACCGTGGACCGACTGACTGCAAGATACTCCAAAAGTGTAGAGCAAGGTCAGGACGGCCATATTCATAGAAGATTCCGTGATGAGATTTGTTGAAATGTGTGCCAATACTTCGTCGTGGAGGGAGCTTTTCACTGCTAGCTGTGAGTGGCGTTGTACAAGTCAGATGGAAAAGGATGTTTCCGTCTAGAACCTGCATATCTCCCTTGCGTCGTTCTCTTATGGGAAGTCCATCGAAATCAAGGAATGATCGAAATTCTTTTCACATAAGTCATATCATGCACCCACTGGAAATAAAGGGTTGACCCTATTTCTTTAGTCTTCAGGGGTGCTGTAGTTATATCCACGAGTATTCCTATGTAAGTTAATATCGTTTATTAGCTTTATATTGTATTTACATTTCTTTAAAGGCTTGCCACATTATATTTTGACTGAATTAATCAAATAAAAATGATAATTGCTGCTTCTGATAATTGTTGTTGCCCAACCAACACTTACATATAACTATTTACTGAAAACTCCATCATAATACCACCAGTTTGTAACGTGGGAAATGAAGTAACCATTATTTAAACTCTTCTGGAAAAAATGCTGACCTGACCGAACAGTCTGTAGAAATAGCTCTCAATGAAATAGGTAGTAATGGTGACCCACACATTTATAATACTTATTAAACAATCATCACAAACCCAACTACCACGCTCGTATTCGACACCTAACTTTATGTTCCCGGTTTGTCCAGAAAATTATGGGAAATCTATTTCAGTACCTGTTTTCTTTGTAAGCTCTTTAGTAGTTTATTTTTGGGGTGAACTTTTCAGTTTGCCATGTATTACAAATCAGCATAGTCTATGTTGTAGTTCATTTTTCAGACTGTGACAGGTTGAAAACACGACAAAACAGCATGAAACGAAGCACTATTCACTTACAGAATGAGTTTCATCATATAATTACTTATTATATAAATAGTACTTAATTGTTTGGATATTATTGATTATTGACTTTCGTAATAAAGACACTAATATAAAATAATGCTTTTGATTCTATTAAATAACATATATTCGACTTCCTTAATACGTTATGACATTCGAAGATTGATGTTTTCATTTCCGTCCTCACGTGATAACCAGAGAGCTTCTGCATTACAGCTAATCAAACCGATAGAAAAATTCCACCCCCACCCGTCTCGAATTAGGGAGAATTTTCCGTCGGTCTGCCGCGTTGTCTCCGACTCCATTTGCTCCGTCGTTCTCTGCGAAATAAGCAGGCGCACGCCACTGTCTCTCTCCCTACACAGTGGAGTTTCAGCGTCTCGCTGGGAATTCAGTTTCAGTCCATGATCATCGTCTGACAAAGATAGAACGCAGTCGGATCTGGTACAGTTTGCAGTACGTCCGTAAAACGTGTTTTCGGCCGATAACTATCTCTAATCTCTCGCCTTTTTCTTCCTTTGTGTTGAGTAGCCCGAAGTGTTTATAGTTCATGATTTCAGTGTTGATTTTGGTGATTGTTTTGTTGTGTTACTCTTGTGCGTGTTATGATTTTTGTTGAATTGTTTCGTTGCCCTCGATAAATGGATTACGACGATTTGTGGTGAGTTGATTTCAGGGTATTTGGAGAGTTTTGCGTTAGGGGTTATACTGAAAAAACCCGGGAAATGAGTATCTTGAGATTCTCGTGAATTGGATTCCCAATATTGTCATAGGCAGCTGAAGCGTCTTCGAATATACGATTCTAAAGAGCCAAATAGATTATTTCAAAAGAATAGGACTCGAAGAAATTTACCCTAAGGCTTATGTTTCCATTAATAGCTTTAGACTATAACGAATAAAATCTTCGAAAAGATATACTTTATGTATGTATGTATCATTGACAGAATATAATGCTTGTTCATAATAATTCTGAAACAATTCACCTTAGGTCAAATGAACACGTTTTTCGGTAGATTTTGATATATTTAATCACGTCGAAGTTAGATTTCTATATTTATGGTTTTGATGAACATACTTTATGTCTTCCCCAGAAAATTCAAATGGAAATTTCAAACCTACATTCAAAGATGAAGGTAGGAGTTAGATATTTATTGGTTTTCTAATTCTTCATCTAATGAAAAGAAAATATTATTTAGGTACCTATATGTTTGTTGGTTTGTAATGGAGAAACTGAAAAACTACCCAGCTGCTTTTGAAAATGTAGTATCAGCGAGTAATATATGGTTTAAATTTTATTTTCAAAAGGGAGGGAGATTTCTACAATTTCTCACCTTTTTTTCCCTTCCTGTTGACTAGCCCGAATTGTTGACTTTGGTAATTGTTCTGTTGCGTTACTGTTCTGCCTGTCATGATTTTTGTCGAATTGTGTTGTTGCCCTCGATAAATGGATTTATGACGATTTAGGTGAGTTGATTTGAGGGTATTTGGAGAGGATTAAATTATTTTACAATTCATAAGACTCAAAAAAATTGTTACTCTAGCTCAGGTTCGTAGGTAGGTATAGGTATGCGTTTTTAAATTAATACCTTTTTTTAGGCGAATAAAATCTTCTAGAGAGAAGATATATGTAGCTACTTTTTGTATGTGAGAATCATTAACAGCATCGAAAGATTGAATATTGGTACTTATTCACTTGTTCACAACAATTCTGAAACAATTCCCGTTTTATCAAAAGAACACCTGTTTTGGTAGATTTTGATATAATCAGGTAGAAGTTAGATTTTCATTTTCATGGTTTTAATGGACACACTGTATGTTTCCCCAGAAAACTCTAACTTTCAAAAATATAGGTAGGAAGTAGGTAGATATTGGTATTTCAATTCATCATTCATCTAATAAGAATAAAAGATTATTTTTTGTTTTGTATCTTGTGGTATAACTATGCTCTAACTGTTCAAGTAAAACGATACATTTAACCGATCACTTATAATTAAAACCAATTAACTTATAGTTGTTTGGGAAATGACGTAAATAACTCACTTTACTTTTTTAAGTTTCAACTCTGGTTTCACATTGATACGAGAGAAAGTACCATTATTCCGGCCTATTCCGGGAAGTACGTACTTCCCGGATTATACCGGGATGAATCTTACATCGTTGTTGTCATTGTATATATGAAAATCTTGGTATGTATGGTTTTGATAGATGTAGTTGATCATTATTCTAGTTGCGAAATAACGACACGAAATTAGTTGACATTTTGATTTTTGAAAGTTTGCATGGCTTTTGTTCGCATTTATCACAATAAACTATGGAGAACAGCAGCGATAGTGAGTTTGAAAATGTGCTGTACGAAATTTCCTATGCAGCAGCAAGTACTACAGCACAATTATTGCCAGGTACGAAAATGTTTGTGATTTGTCCTCGAAATGGATGGATATGAAGAAATGCAAAACTATTATGGATGATGTAATTTTGTATTATTTGGCGCAAAAATCTGAAACTGTCAAACGCTCTACTTAAGGAAGCATGTGAGAAATACCATTGAAATGAACACAAATGTAAACATAGTCACTTTTCCAATAGTTATCGCATTTCTTTAAAGGAAGAATGTTGGTTATAGAGTAAATAAATCAGAAGTATTCATCAGCAAACAGATAAACGAATTAAAAAGAAAGCAAATAATGAAACATATCTAATGCTGAAGGTAATTTTAACAAAATATTACGATTGTAGGTTATGAATATATCAGCTTGATTAGCTTTATTTTCAGGTAGCAACAATTATTGGATTAGCAACAAAATTGTCAATAGAACTGATAAACGACAAGGAAATTATGTGAAAATACCTGATTAAAAAAACACATAGTGAGAGAACTTTCTTTGTAACTGGGCAAGAAAACTTGCTGTTGTAAAGGCAATATTTTTGTTTACGGCCGTCCCATACTCCATGTAATCGTTTTTGGGAAAAAAAGGTTTTGATTTCAAAAACTACACTTCACGATTTGATCTCCACAAACTTTATTTGAGATATATGTCACAACATGTTTCGCTAGCACAGTAGCTTTTTCAAGTGATTTATAAAT